ATATATATATATAATATATATATATATATATATATATATATATATATATATATATATATATATATATATATATATATATATATATATATATATATATATATATATATATATATATATATATATATATATATATATATATATATATATATATATATATATATATATATATATATATATATATATATATATATATATATATATATATATATATATATATATATATATATATATATATATATATATATATATATATATATATATATATATATATATATATATATATATATATTATATTGTTGTATTATATTATATATTATTTATTTATTTATAAAAATCATACTCTTGTTTTGTAACCACATGATATGCACTCTTCACAGTCACAAGCAACTTCTCAATCTATTTTCCACATTTTGAGACCAGTGACCAGATACGTTTTTATAACCTGTAATAAAAAACAACAACTGTTTACATAGTACAGAATCAAATGGCAGTGTATAAATACAGTAGTCAACATTTGGAGGGGATCACCTTTATTTAAATTTGTCCCAAGACTTTATTTTTTCCCAAAACAACCTGAAAATACTTTTTGATCCACCTCAAATGTTGACTCCTGAATACTTTTCCTCAATGTATTCACTCAATACCAGCTCAATACATTTATTCAATGCAAGACTGACATCTATTGGTGGAGATGTGCAAGTGCAGGAGAGCAAGATGAACGAGAGGGGTCTGGCTGCAGACCTGGTGCAGTGCAATCTGGGCTGCATCCAATGCTTTTTAATGGGCTCATATTTACATTTACATTGTCATTTAGCAGACGCTTTTATCCAAATATGGATAAATATGGATGACATTTGTATAAAAGCTGCTTAATTGCTCTAGTTTAACTAAGACCTTGTATATATATATATATATATATATATATATATATATATACAAGGTCTTAGTTAAACTAGAGCATGTACATCAAAATGTATGAATATATATTTACATACATACATACAATCACTTTTATTATGTGACTATAAAAGTGATTTTATTTGGCGGTTCATTCCGCTGTGGCGACCCCTGATTAATTAAGGGACTGAGCCAAAAAGAAAATGAATGAATGAAAATCAATCTTACGAGTCCATTGAACTTTAAACTGACTTAAAACAGCGTGCATACAGTATAAGCTGTCATGACGAACTGATCATATCATTTTTTTACAGTGTAGATCTTCCTCCAGGTGGGGCTCAGAGACTCAGAAAACTCCTGTAGATTCAAATAAAAACACATTAGGAGTCTGTGATGCATTTCATTTAGACTGAGAGCCTGATTGAAAGCGAGATGCTATGTGAGTCAGTTGCTTCTCAATACAAACTGTTTGACTGTAAATGCTGGATAAAGAGGTTCAGTGAATGGGGTATTAAAGAGGACTTATTATGCAAAAATCACGTTTGTAAGGGGTTTAAACACACTGTTGTGTGGCAGCAGTGTGTGAACATAAACAGCCTCTAATGATCAAAATGTATTTTTTAATTTTTTTTTTGCTCCGGTTTCCCCCACAAGTCCAAACACAGGTGGATAGGGTAAGCTAAATTGTCCATAGTGTATGTGGCCCCGTTTACACTAATACAGTTTAGCTTTAAAACGGCGTTTTAGAACAAAAATGATCCACATCCACATTAGAGTTTCACCAATTGTTTCTGAAAAGATCTCCATCTACACTACACTGCTGAAAATTCACATCACATGACCACACACACACTCTGGCATGCGCAGCCTATGCGGAAGTCTGAGGCAGTCAGCGGGTGCTTTGAGCACAAAACCCCAGATGAGAGCAGCGCACGTTGGACATAATAAGTCCCCTTTACATGGGTGTAAGCATGTGAGTGTGCTTGATCCGGGTGATCAAGAAGAAAATCTGATTTCTGTTTTATGTTTTCTTTTTGTAAACATATTTCCTGTACTTTCTCTTTGTATCACAAAAAAAAAAAAAAAAAAAATAACTAAAAAAAAAGAGAGAGACCAAAACATGGATGGTCGTTAAAGCTCTTCTAAAACCCCAGAGCTGGTGGACGCCGAAAACTGTTGCACTTTGTATAAACAACTACTTTATTATTCCAGAGCTTACAGGTAGGATTCTGAGTATACCATTAGACAGAAGTCAATAAGTATTTGTTTCTATACACACACTAATAAAGTGATTGTGTTTTTCATTCAGCAGAGGAGGGTAGATTTTCTAAAGTCTATACTCAAGTAAAAATACAAGTACTTGCAGAATTTTTTACTCAACTAAACGTAACAATCTTAACAGTTACTCGTGTAAGAGTAAAAAATCTGATGAAAAAAAATACTTAAGTAAATAATTACTAGTCACTTTTCATTATATATACAATACATACAGCTGAGGTCAAAATTATTCGCCATCCTGTGATTTTCTTTTTAAAATATTTCATAAATGAAAAGGAATTCTTCACAGTATTTTTTTTCTGGTGAAATTCTTGTTTTATATCAGTTAAAATAAAAGCAATGTTTAATATTAAAAACTTAATCAGTATTGTTAATTAATGTTATTAGCCCCTTTAAGCAATATTTATTTAATTGTCTACCGAATAATAATTTGCCTAATTACCCTAACTTGCCTAATTTACTTAGTTAAGCCTTTAAATGTCACTCTGAGCTGAATACTAGTATCCTGAAAAATATCTAGTAAAATATTCTGTGCTGTCATCATGGACATGTGTCAGGGTTCTGCCACTCTGGTCATGTAAATTTTTGTTTTGTTGGCAGAATCCGGACACTAATCATGTCTAATCCTGTCCTGTTGTGCTCGGCTCCAGTTTTCTTGGGTCGAGCACTTGTTTCTGTCATTATGGGCTCTATTTTGACGGTCCATGCTCAGAGCGCAAAACACAGGGAGCGAACGCTTTCAGGGCGTGTCAGGACGCGTTTTTGCTAATTTAAGGACGGGAAAACCTGCTTTGCGCCATGGCGCATGGTCTAAAAGGGTTGAGTTTATTTTC